TCTTGCCTAGTTTAAAGCCCTCCTTACCAGGCTGGCCAATCTGTTGGAGAAGACAGACACGCGTGCCCCGCTTGGTAAGGTGGATCCCATCGCTCCCCATCAGCTGTTGATCTTCAAACAGGGTCCCATGGTCATAGAAACCAGAACCCTGTTGCCAACACCAGCGGCGCAGCCAGTTGTTAACTTGGAAAACTCGTCTACTCCTCCTCCCGTCCTTTCCCCTCACAGGCAAGATTGAGGAGAAAACGACCTGGGCTCCCAGACCCTTCACCACCATTCCCAGAGCTCTGAAGTCCTGTTTGATGGTTTCCAGTTTGCCTTTTGTGTCATTAGCACCCACATGGAAGATCAGCAGAGGGTAGTAGTCCGATGCGCGGACAAGCCTTGGCAGTCTTTCCACGACATCTCTTATTTGAGCCCCGAGGATGTGTTTTGGGGCAGGAGGCCGAAAAAACACCAAGCAGGAGGTACCTCAGAGGTGCCCGTCTGGGCTGCTCAGGGCACTCAGCTGGTCGAGGTGACCCTCTGCGGTGCCCATGTAATCAGGGCACCCATTTGGGGTCCCTGATGCACCTGTCCGGGGTGCTCGGGGCACCCATGTGGGGTGCCCATCTGATCAGGGTGCCCCTTTGGGGCATATCGTGTGCCCATCTGGGATGCCCAGGGCTCCTGAATGGGATACTTGCAGCGCTGATCTGGCTCTGGTGCCCATCTAAGACCCTTGGGGTCCCTGTCTGAGATGCCCACGGCACCCATCTCATCAGGGTGCCCGTTTGGGGTGCATCACGTGCCCAGTTGGGATCCTCAGAGCACCCACCCAGGATGCCCATCTGATCAGGGTGCCCATTTGGGGTGCATCACGTGCCCAGCTGGAATCTTCAGAGCACCCACCCAGGATGCCTGGGCTGCCCATCTGATCGGGGCACCATTTGAGGTCCTCAGGACACCCGTCTGGGGTGCTTGGCCGTGCATTTGGGATTCCCGTCTGGTTGAGGCACCTCTTTGGGCTTCTTGGGAGACCTGGGACACCCACTGGATCATC